TCATTGTCGAGTCTTTTGAAGCGGTTGAAGAGATTGCGAAGAACGTCAACACGAGAGTCACGTTGAGTTGAGACTCCTTCGTTTACTTTGGACAGCCTATCCCAGATAAGCTTAGCAGTTTCCAAAGCACTCACTCTTCCATACTGTCCTTTGCTCAGATGACCACATATGATATTCTTCACTTGAGAATCGAGTTGCTTGAATCTCTTCACATCAGTAGCGTTCAGGGAGGGTGAGACTGTGGGAACACCATTTTCCACAACATACCAGAGATCGTTGTCAATTGCCTCAAGATGCATTCGCATCTTGTTCTTCCAGTAGGGGTAGTCCGTTCCATCGAAGGTAGGACACCCAGCAGAGACCTTGATCATACCCGCGGTCAACATAACTAAAACTCCAGGCGGTTAAACCAAAATCACACAGAACAAGGGAGTACCTTGCTCAGATACCAATTGAAAGTGCGTTATATCGACTAGAGGGGGGTGAATAGGCGATTTTTATGAATTCTTTACTGAGGAATTTGCTGGTGAGGAAATTCCTAAATGAAGAACTACTAGCAGCGGAATAAGTACTCAGAAGTAAACATAACAGAATACAAGCATAGTCATCATGGCGAGATGAAGACAAACACAGAGTACAGAAAGCGTAAACACAGGATAACACAAGAAAGAAGACGGACAGACTGAAGAAATTGAACTGAGGAAATTGAGAAAGTCTTCAGTCAAAGTCTTCAAACAGATATGAACAGGCACACAACAACAGACATGAGGAAATGAAAGAGTTGAGGAAATAGAACCAGGAGGCTTGGTGAAGACAATGATTTGGTAGACCAGTTCCAACTGCTGTCTCAGTTGTACATCTGGTTGGAGCGGCTGAGTATTTAAACTCGAGGACACCCGGTCCCGGCCACACGGTCCTCACCGTATTCTCCTTGAGCTAAGGTCACACAGATCTCGCCCAATCACTCGTGGTAAGTCTTCAGGTGACTTCCGAACCTTCACAAACTTGGTCACTCGGCGGTCCACAATTCCTCCTGGATGCTCTAGACCTTGATGCCTAACCGTATGGAAGAAGCACAGTCTTCAAAGGAAACAAACGTCGGATCCACGCAGGATCAATCTCTTCAGTGATGCTCAATCACTTTGGGTTTGTAGGTGTTGGGTTTGGGTTTTCCTCACTTGATGATTTTCGCTCAAAGTCCTCGGAGGATGGGATGCTCTCAATTGACAAGTGTCAGTTTCTCTTGAAGCAGCCAACCAACTAGTGGTTGAAGGGGGCGGCTATTTATAGCCTAGGGAGCAGCCCGACATGATAAGACATAAATGCCCTTGTCTGATATGACCGTTAGGTGGGTAGATATTTTGGAACCGCTGGCGCATAGCACAGCAACGGTCGAAATTTTGACTATCAAAATCCTCAGGGCTATCATGTTCCTCATTGTGTAGGCAATTCACACTTGTGAATTCCTAACTCCTCAGTCAGAACAAATTCCTCAGAGACCAGAAGAACTTCGTCTCTGTCACTGAAGAATATGACTGAACTGTATGAGATTTCCAATGGCTTCACTCGAAGGGATTGGTAGGTGTAGGATTTTGAGTTGAGCATCACATGGAAATTTTTCCTTAGTATTTTCTCGACCCCCTTTAACAGTACGGTGTTTCCTATGACTCAAGAAATAGAAAATGAAACTACGAAAACAAAAGTCTTCACGCTTCATATTCCTCGAATGAATACCAAGTCTTCAAGGTCACACCAATTTCTTCACTTTCAAAGTCTTCAGAAAGTCTTCAGATATCCAAAGTCTTCAGACGAAGAATTCATTTTTAGGGGTCGATTTTCTCTGTAAATATCAAACTCCTCATAGACTTATAGACCTGTGTACACTCACAAATGCATCAGTTCCTTAACCTATAAGTCTTCAATACACCAAAATCACAAAGGGGCACTAGATGCACTTACACCTAGATCTAAAAAAACGCAGTCAAACCCCCCTCCCGGCATGGACAACCGCTAGCAGTCCAAATCCCCGATGCCCCTGACCGCCAGCACGCTGTTGTCCGGCCGGTGCTGCTCCTCCACCATCGGATACACCCCCCGGGTCGCCAGAGACTACTGCCATCATCGAGGGAGACGCGTGCACCTCGCCCTTGCCTAGCCCACTCACTGCCAGCCACCTGGTCCTACTCGAGCGTGCGCCACATCGTGGATCCAGGCGAATGGTGGCAGAACGTGGCGGATATCTCATCTGCTCCCCTGGATCCACGGTGAGGAGGGACAAAGCCAAGGATGATGAGGAGGCAGTTGCAGGGGGAGTGCCTCCTTACTCACGGCCACGGGGGCGTTCTCCGGCAGGATGCCTCTCCACCAGCGCCTCCTCGGCGCTAGAGGCCTGGGCCACTACGACGCTCATGGCCTGGGCCACCACCAGCACCAACCTCATGGCAGTGCACGGGCCGATGCTGCTCCTCCGCCCGTACTCCACACCGCTGACCCGACCGCCACCATGGAGGTTCTCTTCATGGGCAGCCTCCTCCGCTCCACGCTGACAAGGTCCATCTCACTGCGCGACACCTCTTCACCGAAGACGCCGGGGCGTCGGAGCCGAGTGAGGGGCTGGACATGCAGGCGGCAGATCCGCCGCCAACGTGCGAGTACTTTCGCTGGCAGTTGTCCACACCCACAGCGAGGGGAGGGGGTTGATTGCTTTTTCTTTTTTAGATTCAGAGGTGTGTGTGTGTGTCAATTCTTTGCCAAGCCAGCTTCTTACATTCCAGTCCAACTTATCAGAAAGTGATTAAACAAGCCAAATCACCCTATCGGTGCTTTTTACAAAAAGTTTACTAACGTGGTGACTTTTGCAAGTGGGTAGGTGGTTTTCTGCAAATCTGGCTGCAAATGTGATGCTTTTCCGTAATTAACTCGTTTCAGCGCATTGTACCAATTTTCTGGTCGGAAGATCCAAGACCGCAAACTCCCTCCGCTTCGAATTACTTATCACAAAAATGGATGTATCTAGAACTAAAAAACCGACTATATACATCCATTTATGTGAAAAGTAATTCGGGATGAAGGTAGTATTATAATAAGTATCATGTATGTCAAGTAAGCATTTTTGTCAAGGTGACATACAATTGAATGAAGAAAGAGAATCGATGCAAAAAAGAGGGTTTATCTAAAATACTCGCTCGGCAAAGAAATATACTAGACTATGATACTATCACTACCGATATAGTATTATTATTATATACTAGCATCGTATGCATCATACTTCCCATTTCAGGAAGCCTAAATTTAGCCAACGTCTCTGTTTTACGAGGAGTTTTGTAAAAGAATTTAAAAATATCTATATTATTATTATTATTAAAAAGATGGGTTCAAGAAATATACTAGATCATGAGCAACCGACGTTGTTGCTCATCGATCACAACCAGCGGTAGATCAAATCCAGTCGGTCCACACGAGTTCTGGGATTTTTCCAATAGCCTTATATCATAGCAAAATAGTTAAATAATATTAAAGGGAAATTTATGAACAATTTTAGTATTGGTACACCCCGGCCTATTGGGCTGGATCCGCACTGCAGTACAGATTGAGGGTGATCACACAAAATCTCAACCTGGTACAAAAATGTGCCCAAGAACACAGCCGATACCTCATAGGACAAAACAAACACATAAATCAATTTTTTTCTTTTCCGTGGTAAAAACATAAAACATAAATCATAACGTAAATCATTTCGTAAGGTCCAAAACTCTAAAGGACAACAAAAGGCAAAGATATTGCAATACCTGCAAAGCAGGTAGGCAAGTGTGCTTTGAAATGTTTATATGATTGTAATTGTTATGAGGTTATGATTTGTGCGCGAGTTCTTTGGTTTGTACTTGTGACCTATACAATTAAAAGAATGTTGGTATGGAAAAATTGTGTTGATTCTAATCATCTTGAAAGTCCAGTTGTTAGAGGGCATTTCCTTTTTGTCCAGCTATATAAGTCATGCGAGTGGTTTGTAGTATGTCATAAATGTAAGTTGACTTTTTTCGTCTTTTTTAATGTAAATCGACCTCTTTTTTTAGAATATAAATTGACCTATTGAAGTGATTAATTCAGGGTAGCTTATGTTATCGAAGTGTCTTGTTGATCTTTCAACTACACCCAAATGCGCCATCTAAAACTAGACTGTAAGAGGGGAACCAACCTTAGTTTGAATGGTTAGGAGGACAATCATGGACGAAGCTAGAATCGGATTACGTCTAGAGCTAAGCTAGTTTAAGTGATACTCCCTCCGTCTGAAAATACTTGTCATCAAAATGGATAAAAAAAAGATGTATACATAATTAAAATACATCTAGATACATCTAGATACATCCTCTTTTATCCATTTTGATGACTGACAAGTATTTCCGGACGGAGGGAGTACACTCCAGTAGTTTTTACATTGTATAAGAACGTATTGCACAGGATATTGTTATTACGCCTAGGGCTATAGCGCCAATTGCGCTAGGTCTCCGCCACTGAGGATAGTAGTATCCTCCGCCCACCAGGTTTCAAGCCTAACATTTGACATTTGTGCTCGCATTTTTCAAGATTTATAGGTCTTTCAGCGATGCGTGTTTAGTGGGAGAAGATGTTCTCATCGACTACGGCAACGTCTGTGACAACTTCATCAATCTCAAGATGATGTGTTGGCTCAGAGACGCTGTGCATAACTGATAAGTTACAAACAGAAGGCTTAGTCTCTTTCAGATGACCTAGATAAACAATTTGAGGAAACGTCCGTCAAAGGAACTAAAAGAAAAAGATATCCACTTGCAGCTACTAAAATCAGGATGATGTGAAAATTTCAACCATCCGACCATTTTGCTCAAAATTTTCCCTAACCAGACTAACGCTACTTTGGCGCACAGCTCCAGGCTTTTCTATCTATCCAACATGTACCTCGGTAGCCTTTCTTTCTTGTGGTTATGGTTGTAATAGTGGAGTCATTGTTTCCTCGTGACAGTTTAGAGCTCGTCGTGGCTGGACAGGTTTGAAGACGCAGCGTCGAGTTTCTGTTGCAGCTCCTGTTATAGATTGTTATATATATAAACCAAAACTCTATTAGCTCCCAACCTCAATGCAAAGAAAGAAAACACATTCGTGATAGGGACAAGAAAGAACCTTCAGCTTCTCTTCAACACACATTGCAGGAGTTGACAGCACAGCGACATACCTGCGTCATCGGAACAGACATAGAAATAATTAACATGATATAATGTGCATTTTGGTAAAAAGATCAAAGGTGTATCATGACAAAAAAAACTACGCACTCGCATCTGCTGGGCTCATCAACACCGTTAAGCTTGTTGCTCAGCCCACATCTAAGCCTGACCTGCATAAAAGTTAAGCCGCACAGTTATATTTTAAGACATGCAAATGGAAAGAGCTGTGCTTAAGGAGAATGCAACCCTGAATAATAGCAAGTACCTTTAGGCTTCGGTCAGGGCCATTCCAGCATTTGTCTCCATTTGAAAAGCGCATCATCCTGTAGGATTCTTCAAATTTGTCCCAGCGCCTGACCAACAGAGAGTTTCCATTTTTATTTACGGCACAAGATAACTAACTGCACTAGGAATGATAACGTAGTGCAAATGCATGTTTGTGTGCTTCCATGCACAGAATAGGATGTTTAGGCTTGTGAACGTCATACACAAGAGAAAATAGAAACTATAATTTTCTTCCAAGTAACTTTCAAGTAGCTCTAAGCTAGTTGGTAGCTAAACCAGCCAGGACTGTCTAGAAAATGGTCCATGTTCAAAGATAAAATGGCAGTAAAGCAGAGCAATGCTGATAGACACAGCACATTGAAAACAAAATTGTGCTCCCCTAATCTATTCCTAAAATTGCATCCCTAAGAGAACATGAATGGAATTAGTCGGGTTTTTTTTCGAAACGGGGAATTAGTCGTTTGAAAACATGGTAACGTAATATAACACATGAAAAAGTTGCTTATATACACAAACCTACATAGTAAGAAAGCTATCCGGGTTGCCTATGTAGTGAATTGTAACTTCGACCATTACTTGTTCACGTGCAAGTATCAACCCTAGAACTTCATCCAGTTTACAAGATTAACAGCCAGGTTATAGCTCAACCTTTCAAGATTCTACGTTTATTTCGCAAGCTATTGTGCTGAAAAAATGTAATCACGGTAATGATGAAGAATGAACAAGATCTCAGCTCATGCTCTCTAAAACACAGTTAATAATCTACACAATGCATTTTTCTAAATAGCATTACTCAGTGTTTTCCCATAGTGAATATGAATGTGAGAATTTCCACAACATATCAATATGTTAGTGGTAGTGGACCAAACTAAATATGAAGTTTAATCAATGGATTACAGTAGGGAATAACAAAAAAAACTAAATCTTAAAGGAGTGCGGGAAACACACCCCAGGTTAGTGGAACTGTGTCCTTCAACCTGTGAAGCTTTCTTGTATGGACAGACCTTGTAAACATACCTGCCAATACGGATCATGATTCAAAAATCAGTAAACCTAACCAAATATAAAATGAAAAAAAAAAGGTTTGAATTTTTTTGAGATGGGATACATACTTGCCCTCCTTGCCCTCAAAGCACTGGTCATAAAAGTAATAGAACTCCTTCTCCTTACCTAACAAGAATGCATTTCAATCAGTTTCAATTTTTCACAAGTTTACCAAGGTAACGTATTAACTAGACTAACTAATCAGATGAGGTCAGCATCTAGAGTAGCAGGTAACATGTAATACAGAGCAATAATGTTCTAAAGAAATGAAGCCTCAAATAGTTGGAAATGTATTGTAAGTACCAGGGGCCGAAATGCAAACTATGTAGATTCGGCTAGAAATAAAACCAAAAAGATATATGAAAGAAACATACAACGGGATGTTCTTTATCTATGGTTGGACTACACTATCCTGTAAATGACTCTAAGTTATTTTTGGCCATTTTAAGGAACAACTTATTTTATGGAACTTCAACAAATTCGCCGGTCGAAAATCAGTTTGGTTTCATGCCTGGGAGGTCGACCATGGAAGCCATTGTCTTGGTACGACAACTCATGGAGAGATATAGGGAGCAAAAGAAGGACCCGCATATGGTGTTCATTGACTTGAAGAAGGCCTACGATAAGATACCGCGGAATGTCATGTGGTGGGCCTTGGAGAAATACAAAGTCACAGCAAAGTACATTGCCCTCATCAAGGACATGTACGATAATGTTGTGACAAGTGTTCGAACAAGTGATGGCGACACTGATGACTTCCCGATTAAAATAGGACTGCACCAGGGGTCAGCTTTGAGCCCTTATCTTTTTGCTTTGGTGATGGATGAGGTCACAAGGGATATACAAGGAGATATCCCATGGTGTATGCTCTTTGCGGATGATGTGGTGCTAGTCGCTGATAGTCGGATGGGGGTCAATAGGAAGTTGGAGCTATGGAGATAAACCTTGGAATCGAAAGGTTTTAAACTTAGTAGAACTAAAACCGAGTACATGAGGTGCGGTTTCAGTACTACTAGGCAAGAGGAGGAGGTTAGCCTGGATGGGCAGGTGGTGCCTCAGAAGGACAACTTTCAATATTTGGGGTCAATGTTACAGAAGGATGGGGATATCAATGAAGATGTGAACCATCGAATCAAAGCCGAATGGATTAAGTGGCACCAAGCTTCTAGCATTCTCTGTGACAAGAGAGAGCCACAAAAGCTAAAAGTCAAGTTCTATAGGACGGCGGTTTGACCCGCAATGTTGTATGGCGCTAAGTGTTGGCCGACTAAAAGGCGACATGTTCAACAGTTAGGTGTGGCGGAGATGCGCATGTTGAGATGGATGTGTGGCCACACAAGGAAGGACCTAGTCCATAATGATGATATACGAGATAGAGTTGGGGTAGCATCGACTGAAGAGAAGCTTGTCCAACATCGTCTGAGATGGTTTGGGCATATTCAACACAGGCCTCCAGAAGCGCCAGTGCATAGCGGACGGCTAAAGCTTGCTGATAATGTCAAGAGAGATCGGGGTAGACTGACATGGGAGGAATCCGTAAAGAGAGATCTGATGGACTGGGGTACCACCAGAGAACTAGCCATGGACAGGGGTGCGTGGAAGCTTGCTATCCATGTGCTAGAACCATGAGTTGGTTGCGAGATCTTATGGGTTTCACCTCTAGCCTACCCCAACTTGTTTGGGACTAAAGGCTTTGTTGTTGCTGTTGTTTTTTGTTGTTGTAGTGTGTTCTTGCTTAGGAACCATGTTAGCACAGTTCTCATTACCATTTACTGGATGGCTTAAGAAGTAGTTTCATCAACCGAAAGCACAACATTTGATAGAAAATCCCTAACAAAACTAATAGGTGCAAAATATACAAGTGGGTGATGCACTCAACGAGGAGACAAAGTTTCAATTAACTTACCAAAGTCTTGCTTTAGCTTATCTGTCAGAGAGGTTATCCTAGATTGAATTTTGGACAGCTTTGAGCTAGCATCATCATACTCCTTCCGAACATGAGCAGCCTCTAAAATCATAAATGTGTAAGCGTTAGCACATACTCATATAAATCATGAAGAATCAACAAAAGTAGTATGTACGATTGACCTGATAAATCAACAGGGGTCTTGAAAAAGTTGAATTTCTGTAAAACATTCTGTACAGTTTGCTGAATCTTGTCCAGCCATGATGCTTGTCCTGAGGCAGTTAAATCTGAAGGAAGGAACAAATCAAATCAAAAATAAATAATTACATACAATGGGATAATCGATAACCACATACAGTAGGATAGAAATTATTGTTGTCATATAAACACACTATACCTGAATGGTCATCACCTTTCCGGTCGTCATCAGATTTATAGGACACATCAGGTTCTTCATGATCATCAACATATTCATCATCTGATACATTAGACAACTCTTCGTCTTCAAATTTGTGCCTATCATCCTCAACTTCTGAATGATAGCCGGCATAATTTTCTTCTACGGGTTCTGGTATATCATGCTCATCTTCAAATGCTTCTTCTGCAGGTTCTGGAATATCCAGCTCATCCTCATGGCCCTTTTTATCGCTTTTACCAACATCATCTACATTTTCTCCAGTCCAGCGAGAAGCTACCAGACGACCCAATTCCGCCTTTGACAAACCTTCAGAGTTGACAGAAGTAGGGTCCTGCAAAACATACAACAATGCTTCATAACTTGAAATTGGAACTGCATTCCCAAGAGATCAACAAAAATTGTACAATATATTCTGGGTATCAATAATAATTGTATAAGTAATAAAAATATAACGTCCACACAAAAATTTGACCATCCTTAACCGAATATAATGGGAGATAAGGACAACGACAATGCGAAAAGACAAGCAAGTGCAGTTTTGGATATAGCTTATTAGTTACAGGACATCAGAAATCTAGACAAGACATCACAATAGCAAATATTAAACAAGTTCAGTGACATGAGTCAGCTGCAAAGCAGTTACTACACAACCTGCTCTTCGGTAGGTACTGCAGATGTCTCCACCGGTGGTTCGTCATCTCCAGTCCCAGCTTTAATGTCAGGCTGACATGGAAAAACAGCATATATACATTCAAATTTGATATTGAAACAAACTAGCATATCAATTTTCTAGTACCAAAAGTTAACTATACCACTTCAACAGATGTCTCGCCTTCTGGTGAGTGATTGTCATGGTCCGTGATATCTCCATCATGATGTTCAACTACCTATGTTAAACAGTAGTAACAAAATAACATAAATATATTTTTATAGCAGTGAACTAACAAGGTGCATAATGAGTACCTATATGGCTATATCTTGTACGTTAGGACTTAGGAGTGAGGATTTCACTAATTTGCCAATGGTTGTCATTTCTATGTTAGTCATAGGTCTTTCTTGGTGCGTAACGAGTACCTATATGGCTATACCTTGTACGTGAGGAGTGAGGACTTCACTAATTTGCCAATGGCTGACATTTCTATGTTAGTCATATGGGCTTTCTTAGTTAACCGTGGGAATTATTATGAAGCTGTCAATTAGGTTTTGTGTAAGCAAAGCAGTTGCGAAGCATCAAAGGGCTCCGAATTGTGATAGGCTCATAGCAGTAGCTCACCTCACCTACCTCGCGATGCTTTTCGCCTTAAGGCATGGCGTCCCCACGGCGCAATTCAGGAATCGCCAGGAGGCGGGGCAAGAGCCATGAATTGCTTGGCGGGAAAGAGAACTATGGCATGAGAAAGGGAGGGGCAAGAGGTTGGGGGAGTCACCAATTCAGAGAAGAGAAGGGGAGGGGTATGGGAGGACACCATCCTCATCTCCCCCCACCCACCCCCCCTCCTTTTTTTCTGCAATGTTTCTTCTCGGATTTTCCTCACCCCCTCTGTTTTTTTGGCTTTTTGCTGGCTCTTATTCATTCATCTGTAATTTGGGGGGTATTGACTTGTATTCCTTCACTTCCCTTTTGTCTTCCTGGCTGGAGCCTTGATAGCTGACGTTGAGAAAGTGAATGAGAAGGGCAACTGAAGATAAAG